ATAAAATGTTATACTATTTTAGCATCCCTAGACATACAATTCATTGGTACCAAGTGCATCTACTATTTTAGGACTCTTACAGCTTTTTATTTTTAATTTTTTTATGTATTTAGTACAGGGTCTACAGGATCTCACTACACAGATCAGACTTGCAGTGATTCTGCTGTTTTCAGCCTCCCAAGCGCTGGGATTACAAGCACACCCCACCACCCCCAGTCTTAATTGCCTCCTCAGCGCCCCCCAGGGGGCGGGGCTGGCATGGCTCACCAGAGATCAAACCCTGGCCGCTTCACTCTAAGAGGAACTTTACTCCACTCTAGGACCCTTACAGCTTTTTAAACCTCTTAAGTGGTTGTAACTCCCCATTTTGCCCCTGATAACTTCTAATCTACTTTCTGTTTGTTTGAATTTATGTATTACAGATAGCACATATAAATGGAACAATATAATCTTTGTCTCTTATGCCTGGCTTAGGATAATCTCTCTGTTTTGCTTGGGGTTTTGGTTTTTTTGAGACACCATCTCATTCTGTTGCCCAGGCTGGCCTAGAACTCCTAAGCTCCAGTGAGGCCTGACTAGCTGGGATTTAGGAGCACCCTGAGGAATGTGTCCTTTGTGCCCCTGATCCTTTGACTCTGGTTCTCTGAGGATGTGCGCTGATAGGGACAGAGCCTGGAGGCCACAGCCCTGAGCTCTGATGGGCCCTAGGGAGGCCCCGAGCCTGGTCCAGCCTCAAACGCTTGCCTTCTCTTCTTCCTAAAAGCCGCACACCCAGATGCCTGTGAGCTGCCAGGAGCTCCCTGATCAGCCCGAGCTCCTGACCAAAACCCTACTGTGCAACGTGAGCTCCCCAATCTTCAAAGCAGGCACCTTGGTGAGTGCTCTTCAGGGACCCGGAGCTGTAGGCAGGAAGGGGAGTGAACTCTCAGGTCTGGGGAGAGGCACGTGCTTGGCCGGCCAGGCCTGGCAGAGCCCGGACTTTGGATCAAATGAACCTGGGATGGGCTGTTTGCTTGTGATTTGTGCACATGGCAAGCCTCACCGCCTCAGTGGGGATGAATCCTCAGCTTGGTGTTTGAGAGGCAGCCAGCCCTGCTTGAGAGGACCACTGCAGTCACGGTACCTGGCTGCTCCTGAGGTCCCCTCCTTCCTTGCCCTCTTTCCCGCTAGGTGGGCATCCAGGTGGTATTTAGCACACTGCTGAACAGCTCCTGGGGGGACGCAGTGAAGCTGAACAGCACCGTGCACTGGTGAGTAGGCCCTGGGACACCCCTGCATGCCCTGAGCCATGAAGCCTGGCCACACCTGCTCCTAACCCAGCCCCTTGCCTTGCTCTGCTGCAGTACGAACGAGAACGCGAGTCTCCTGGGGGACAACTCAGCCACCACCAGCATCCCTGTCCTGTACCCCATCAACATCCTCATAGAGGAGTGAGTCCTGAGCCGCGCCTCCTCTCCTCCCGCTCGGCCTCCCCTTCTTCCACCCCGGCACCCCCCTCCAACTCTGGGCTCCTCCCAGGCATAGCCCCCAGCTTTCAGCTCTCCAAACTCCAAGGGACTCAAAGGGCTCTTGAGTCAGGTCCTCATTTACCAACAGAAGAGAAAGTACCCTGACCCCTGGCCCATGTCAGGCCTGTGCCAGTGCGCCAGCGGGCATCAGAGGCAGCCATGCGCCTCTCCATGTGATAATGAGCAGACCGAGCCTTGGAGAAGCCACATGCTGACCCAAGGTCAGAGAGCTGGCAAGGACAGCAGCCAGGCTCTGACCTTAGGTCTGTCTGACTGGAAAGTCACAGCCGGGCTCGGAGCTGTTTTCAGCTGTTCTGGGTTCTTCTTCTTTGTGGGCACCAGCAGCTGGGGGACACAGAGGTTGCCACAGTGACCCTTGCCTCTGAGGCCAGACTCGAACCCAAGCAGGATTCATTAGCTTCAGCACAGTGTGGGAGGCCACGAGACAGCCAGTTGCATTTTCTAGTTTATAGAAAAGGAAGCTAGAAAACTGGGGGCTTTTCCAAGGTAGCTTAGTGAGATAGGGATGGAGACAGTATCAAAGTTCACAGTTCCAGTGCTTCAGAAAATAAATGCCAAGCAGGATAAGACTGATAAGAAGTTAGAGCTAGGAAAGATTGGGGTAGGTGGTGGAAGAGAAGAAGGGTGTAATGGAGAAAGTGGGCCCTGGTGTGTGGGGAGCCAGGAGGTAGGACTTGGATGGCCACAGAGGAAAACAAAACAGGCTTACAAAAAAGAAAGAAAGAAGAAGAAAGAAAAGAAAGAAAGAAAGAAAGAAAGAAAGAAAGAAAGAAAGAAAGAAGAAAGAAAGAGAGACTGGGTGTGGTGGCGTGCGCCTGTAATCCCAGCTCTTAGGAGGCTGTAAACAGGCTGATCACTATGAGTCCGATCTAGTAGTGAGACCCTTGAATACCCTGTAGACCCTTCCCTAAAATACAAAAAGAAAAAAAAAAAAAGAAAGAAAGAAAAACCAGGCTGACAGCACCCAGGCAGGAGTGTGAGGAGGGAGGTGGGCAGGGAGAGGCAGGTGTGGTGCCTGGACCTGCCCTGGGTGCAGTGGGCAGTGGGCTCTGAGTGTGTGGGTGGCAGGGCCTGGCAGTGTGGGGGTAAAGGGGCGCCAGAGGCCAATGTGTTTACCTACCAGAGGACGGTGGAGACGCTGATAGGTGACACAAAGCAAGGGAATATGTTGGCCAAGGCAGGCTTCGCCCACAGGCTCCTGCCCTTTGCCCCACTGGGGGGCTCTAGACAAGAGCATGGCCTTAGTTTCCAAAGGAGCCAAATCAAATGCTGCCTGCGTGGTCTCTCGTGTAGTAACAACAGCTTAGAGCTTCCTGGGGTCTGGGTTGCTGTCTCCACCCCCTTCCATCTCTGCTCTCTTCCACAGCCAGGAAAACTCCACGTTCTACATCAGTTTCACCCCAAAAGGTCCCAAGACCCACCAGATCAAGCACATCTACCAGGTACAAACCCCCATGGGGAAGGGTCCTGTAGGCCACCCCTCCCGCCAGGCCTATCCTGAGGAGGAGTTAAGCCTTCCACATCCCCAGAGGCCCAGCCTGCTGCCTGGTTCCTCAACCCTCCCAGTTCTCTTCACAGCCTCTGCCTCAATGCTTCTGCCACCTTTCCCCCACCCAAGCCTTGATGGAGTCACAAAACTTGGACTCTGAGGACACTGAGAGAACCTGGCTTTTTGGTCAGACTTGGAACGAGCTGTGGTTCCACTTTGCTCTTTGCTGGATCCCCTTGCTTCCGGGAGTTCTGTTGTTGGCAGCCTTCTCACTTCCTGGCTTCTCACAGCTGGCCGGGATGTGCGGCAGGCTCTGCCTCTCTGAGCATTCCCTTCGGCCCTCCTGGAGCGCTCTCTTCCCGGGCTCTTCCACTTCTGAGCCCCATGGCTGGATCAGAGTTGAGCTTCCCTCCCAACCCCCACCCTCCTGCCTCTTCTCGCTCTGGGTGCTGCCCCTGCCCCTGCGAACTTTCCTGGTGTTCCCTCCACACACACTCCCATCTTCCTCTGTGGAAGTTCTGTTCTCAACAGTAAAGTTTTCCCGTCCCTAAAATACAGAAGAGGAAACAAAACAGTACAATTCTGACATTGGACCCTTCCAACTTAACAGATATTTTAAGTGCCCACAAAAGTTTGTTGAGTGAACAAAAAACAAACCCCACAAATTGGACATACATACCGCTTGACCTGTTGGGGACATGATTGGTGTGACTTCTGGACACTTTCTTATACATTTCTGGGTGTCCCACCCTAGCCCAGATAGTTCTTTTTAAATACAAAGTCCTCAAATATTTCTTAGTTCAGTCTAGTTGCCAAAATGAGTCTTTTCCTACCTGTTATAAAAGTAGTTTTTATATCTGTCCTTATTAAATATCATTCACAAGGCCGACCAGATAGCTCAACAGACTAAAGCACCTGCTTAGGCAGGCGCAGAGACCCACCAGGGTTTGATCCGCTGGGTGCCTTGCCAGCTCAGCCCCCAGGGCACACTGAGATGGTGACTGAGACTGGGTGTGGTGGCGCACACCTATAATCCCAGTGCTTGGGAGGCTGAAGGTAGGATCACTATGACTCTGATCTGTGTAGTGAGGCTCTATAGATCCTGTACTAAAATATATTAAAAAAAAAAAAAAAAAAAACATTCGGGGCCAGGGAGATGGTTCAGAAGAATAAGTGCTTGCCTGGCAAGCGCCAGGGCTGAGTTCAATCCTTGGTTCCACAAAAAAAAAAAAAAAAAATGCCATTTGCTCATTCAATTAAAAAGAAATACTTTTTGGCTGGCTGTATGTAGCTCCGTAGGAGAGCCCGTGCTTAGCGTATGTGTGGCCCTGGGTTCAATCCTAGCACAAGTCCTCTGTGGTGGGACACACAGCGGACTGAGGCGGAGGATCGCTGAGGGCTCAAGACCAGCCTGTGCTACATAGCGAGGTTAAGACCAGCCTCAACTACTTTGGAAGACCCTGTCACACTGATGAAAACATGAAAAAAGCTAAAACCTACCTCTTGAGGGCCTCCACCTCCCTCCTGTTCTCGGGAAGCTCATGGTCTCCTGGACTTACAGACGCACTTTGTCACCATTCCGGGATGAACAATGCCACAGCACGCAGAGGGAAGCTGTCCTATCTTTGGGAGGCAGCCAGCCCTCCAGAGAAGAGCACCTGGGGGCCTGCAGGATGTGGGAGGACCTTGCTTGGGGAGGAAGCTGGGAAGAGCCCGGAGCCCGCCTGCACCCTGAGGCTTCGAGGGCTGGGTCGCCTGGGTCAGGCCTCATGCAGTGCCTCAGTGGGGTCTGCAGGCCTGGCCAGGACAGCGTGGCGGGCAGTTGGCATTCAGGGTCTGCGTCCCCCTCCTCCATGGCAGGTGAGGATTCAGCCTTCTGTCCATGACTACCAAATGCCAGCGCTGGAGGCTCTGGTCAGGGTCCCACAGTGTCACAGCGAGCAGCCCTTCACACACAGGTGGAGCGTGCAGATGGTAAGTGCCACTGGAGACTGAGCTGTCCAAGGTGAGGCCACGCAGCGGAGCGGTGTGGAAAGTGAGGGCACCGGATCCAAATCCCAGAGGCTCGGCCCACCGTGCCCCATCCACAGGGCCAGCGAGGGAGGGTACTAGAGTGCCAGTCCCACCGGGGGCGCAGAGCGGCCCGGCCCACTGGCAATCTCTGCCCTTCCGCCTAGGAGCCTCCCACTACCTGCCATCAAGAGGACCTTGGGCAACCCCCCAGTGGCAGTGAGGTACAGTGAGCTGACAAGTGGGGGGGGGACAGCACGGGGAAGGCGGCTCTGACCCTGCGGCCTGACCCCCAGCAGCCTTGTCTCTCCGGAGCCGAGATCCGCTGCCCACTTGTCTTCAGGCAGGAATTCCTCGTCCAGGTGGAGGCAGCCATAGAGCTGGTGGGAGACATTGAGGTAGTGTGCCCTCAGCCACTCAGAGCTGGGTATGGGAAGCGGTGGGGGGCCTGGGGGTCTGGGGGAAGGGCACACTCCCCCACATGGCCTCCCCATATTCTTCTTCCTGTGGTAAAGGCAAATCCTCAGGTTTGTACAGTTGCAGGTGAAGGAGAACCACGATGCGTTGGAAATTTGCAGGGTGGTTTCTGTGGGCCCATATGGGGAGTCCTTGGGGTTTCATAAGGAAACTTCCCCTCCAGCAGTGGGAAGAGGTGCACGAGGGCGCCGCAACGGCCTTGAGTGCCAGGGCCCCTCCTCTATCCCTGCTGTGGCCCCCAGTCATGGCTGCCCTGGCCCTTCGTCCCCCGCCCTCCCACAGGCCTCCTCCACGCTCAGCCTCCTCAGCTCGCTCTCCATCTCCTTCAACAGCAGCAGGCACTTCCACCTATATGGAAGCAATGCTTCTCTGGCCCAGGTAGGTGCTCACGCCCGGAGCAGTGGCGCAGGGATGTAGCCCAGCGGCATAAGCGCCTGCCTGGCAAGCATAAGGTCCTGAGTTCTATCCCTGGTACCAGAAAAAAAAAAAAAAAAAAAAAGCCCAGAGTAGGCACCAGAGGGCCCTGAGAACCCAGGACAGAGCCACGGGTGGGCGCCCTCATGGCACGAGGGGCCTGGGCCCAAGCCAGAGCCATGTGCTCCCACTCTGCTGAGTGGAAGCCAGCAGACTGCAGTGCTGTCCCCCTGAGCTGAGCAGTCTTGTGAGTCCTGATGACAGCTGAGCAAGGGGCCACCAGCCCAATGGCATGCAGAACGGGTGCGGTGCTGAGAGAGCAGGAAGCTGCGGGGAGGGCAGGAAGCGCAGAGTGGTGGGCAGAGGAATCTCAAGAGGGTGGGCAGGAGCCAGATTCCAGGAGGCTTTGAATGCCAAGCTGAGACCCCTGGCACTGAATCCCAGGACTCACAGGAAGCCATGGAAGTCTTGGGGCTGACAGTGGGGTGTGTTTACCACGTGGTCCCTGCCACTGCTGACAGTGGGTGGGGGTTCTTGAGGCAGAGCCCAGTGGGCTGACAGGGCCCAAGTGCACGAGGTGAGACTGGGAACAGAACTTCTAGGGAGAGCAAGCTCTTCCTATGCTTGCCTGCCTCTCCCCAGATCCTCACGAAGGTTGACGTGGTGTATGAGAAGGAGATGCTGAAAATCTACGTGCTCAGCGGCATTGGGGGCTTGCTGCTACTGCTGCTCATTTTCGTGGTGCTGTACAAGGTGAGAGCGCACTGCCAAGGCCACCAGGCGGGGTGGGGCGGTGCCAGGGTCAGGAGTCCGCCACAGCCAGGAGCATTAGGGCTGGAAGGGGCCTCAGCCTGCAGATAAGGCTGCTGCAACCCACAGAGTTCGTTTTTTGACATCACTCACCCTAGCACCAGCAGAACAGAACTAGGTGCCAGGAGGCCGGGGAGAAGACCACACATCCATGGTTTCTGGTGGCAGTGCCTTAGCAGGCCCCAGAATACAGTGGCCACACGCCACAAAGAAACAACATTGGTGCCCATGCAGAGCCACAGTCTAAGCGGGGAGGTGCAGGAGCAAGTGCGCTTCGGGCCTGTTTGCTCTGAGAGGCCTCAGGCTGCCCGGCCTAGGAAGCCTCCCAAGAGAGGCACCTTTGAGCTGCGGCAGGCAGGGTGAGAAGTTAGAGGTGGAGAAGAGAAGAGGGCAGATGTTCTAAGCAGAGACACAATATGACTGAGAACATGAAAAATCAAAGTTTCCAACCGGGCATGGTGGTGGCATACACCTATAATCCCAGGACTTGAGAGGCTAAAGCAGGAGGATCTCCAAGTTCAAGGCCACCCTGGATTACGTCATGAGTTCAAGGCTAGCTTGAATGGCATCATGAGACCCAGTCTCAAAAAAGAATTAATTAACTTTGAGACACAACTCCCTAAGTCACTAAATTGCCCAGGCCATGCTGAAATTCAAAATCCTCCTGCCTCAGCCTCCTGTATTACAGATGTGTGCTACCATGTCAGGCTCAGTACATAAAATTCTTTTTTTTTGTACCAAGAAT